TACTCACCCAAGAAGAGTATCCACCGTGAGATATATGTTGTTTGACTAGCCACGAGACGACGTTAACGCCGTCGTCGTACGCCGCCGGAAGACGGTGTTCAGGGGCTAAACGGTAGTTTACCGAAACGACGACGCAACGTGTTTTGACAGCGAGGCTGGTCAAGAAGTCGTGGTAGCAACTCCAAGCGGTAGAGCCAACGCAGAAACCACCGCCGTGGAAGTAAACGAGGAGAGGGAGAGTAACGGACGGAGAAGCTGCGGCCTCGGGGATGTAGACACGTATCAACGTGTCGTTAGATAGTTTGATGTCGAAGGCTGTGGCTTTGGCAGATGGGTGAAGGGTGGGTGAGACGGTGGGGACTATGGGAGGTCTTTCGACGCAGCCGTCGTTGAAAACTTTGATGAGACCTTCGATCTCTTCCACGACAGGGCCATGACGGTGGTGGTGGGATCCGCCACGGCGGTTGTCTGAGGGTTGGTGGTTGTGAGAGAAAGAAATGGTTGCCATACTCTTTTTTTATTATTTTGGACGATGAAGTGTAATGTTGTTGGTCGAGTTTGGTTTGAGTGAGATATGAGATTCATTCCAGTTCTTCTTTATATAGAGAAGTTTGTACAAAATATTTATCAAAGATACTTTCATTTAGGTAAAAAAAATTTTTTTTAAACAACTTTAAAATATAATAAATGGAATTTTCCGATTGTAATTTCGGATTTTATTGTCATTTATAGCATCTATGACTATAGTATAGATGGGAATATAGATCCTTGATCTATATATCAAGTGGGTGAATCTTCACCACTTCAAACCCGTCATACTATTATTCAACTTTTAAGAATGTAATTATTGACGTGTTCACATTACAAAAGGAATTATATCACGTGGAGTTATTATTTTGTCATATAATTGCAAGGAATATTACCGTCACGCTTGCTTAGCTTACATGAAAACATAGAAGAAGCTAGCTAGAGTTATCCCAAAAGAATAATGTTTTGTTGCGCAGTCGTGGTATAATGAATAGTTAAATGATAGTAAGTTGAGTTTCAGTTGATTTGATCCCAAGCAATTCGTGTTGTTCCATCACTTGTTATAAAATGTATCATTACAAAGTGGAACTCAAGACTATTATCATGTTTGTCCTTTTCGAACAAGACTGTTTTTGGAATTTTATGCCTATAACATTTTATCTAC